GAAAAAATAAAAAAATAAAAAAAATTTGTTTAGGCCCACCCAAGCCCGAGCCTATGGGCCTAGCCCGAGGCCCAACCCACTGGCCCATCCAAAGCCCGAATACCCCTGGGCCTGGGCTAGGGCTTGGGCCTAGTTTTTGGCTCGTGGGCCGGCCCGATTTTTTAGCGGGAGCCCACAAGGCCCGACATGGGCCCGGCCCAGCCTGAGCCAGAGTGGGCTAGCCCGGGCTAAAATTACACCCCTATACATGGGATTTGAGTGCATTACATAGTCTTTGGGAGTGTAAAACATGTTAGGTTCATTGGGGGTGTTTGGTGGGACTTTTTTGAGCCAACTTATGGCTTCTGACTTTTAAAAAGTTATTTTAGACTATTTGGTTAAACTTATTTCAAATAGCTTCTAATTCTAACAACTTATTTTAAGTCAAAAAAACTAATTTTGAGAAGCTGCTCACCCCTTATCAGCTTATGCTGTGGACATATTAATTCACAGTTATGCTCTTAGATTTTTTTTATTTTTTATTTTTTTAAAAATAGAAAAAGAACCAAATGGACTATAGAATATTATTATTATTTTTTATAAGAAATGTAGACAAATAGTGAATAATAAAAAATAAAAATTAATTAAAAAAGCTACTTCAGAGGTTATTGAACAAATACTACTCAACAACTTAAATCTATAATCTAACAGTTACCCCAACAGATTAACAGTTTCTGATTAAAGTCATAAATTATAATTTGTTAAGTTATAATTTATAATCTGTTTTAACAATTACGTCAAACAGGACCATTGTCAGGCATTAGTTTGTATCCAATATGGTATAACTTCCATGGGCATGAACCACGATAGTGGTGATTATGATGAATTTTGAAAAAAGTTAATGTTGTTAAAAAATAAATCAATAAAATAAAAAAGTAGGCTGCTCTAATCTTGATTGGGAGAAATATATATATATATGTATGTATATATATATATATATAAATTAAATATAATTTGTTTAGTGATTTTTGCATAAAAAATTACAATTTTAACTAAATTGAATTAGTATTTTTAATGTGTGCGTATATATATATATCTTACTAGCATATCACTTATGCTATGTACGGGATTGAATTTAAAAAAACTATTTATGATTATGTCAAATATATTTTTAAATTGTTAGCATAAAATATATGTAATTTTAAAAGCAAATGTTGACATTGCATAATTAAAGTAACAAAAATAAGAATTCATTACATTTGTTCGGAATTCACTGAATAAATAAAACAAAGTATAACTAAAATCTAAATTGTTATGGGTCTTCCATCAGCATTCATGCATTGTCAACATGATAGTTAGTGTTATAATTGATGAACAATACATATATTATGTATTTATAAAATATTATACTTACATATATATATATATATATATATATATATTACCTTCCTTTACTCCCTGAAAACACAAACGTGAGCTAGCCGGCGGGTGTGTGCCGGATACCTCTCCGATGCCTAAGTCAGCAAAATAGACAAATAGACAAAAGCTCTGTGTATTCGAGAATCAAAGTTGTGTTACCTCTCCATAGGTGATGTTGTGAGCTTTTATAGGTTTCGTATGGCATAATCCTAGTAGGACTTTTACTCATCCATGTAGAGTTCTTCTAGGAGTCATACTCCTGAAAGATAATGCTTATCCTTCAACACCCTCCTCACTGCTTAAACCAAGTGAGATGGTTTTACCATGGCCGGATTCCAATACGACCAAGGTAAGCATGGCTATGCTAAGCCGCAGACTAGACCGAACTATAGCTAGTTTGGTTCTTCCTTTCACTACTCTTACCTCGGTTTCTCATGTACAAACCATGGTGTGATCAGACCGAGCTAATCAAACAGCAAGGTTCTGACCGAGCTAACCACGATAAGCCATGACCGGGCTAACTTTGAGTATGGTGACCGGGCTATATGTAAAGCTTCTCTAGACCGGACTAATCTTCAAGGTTCTTTCGGACCGGGAGAACAATAAGGCTTACCAGGACCGGGCTAACTACAAGCTCCCTTTCATCCAGCTTTTCTTACTGTGGCCCAAAGAACGGCCCATTTACCCAGCTCAGCCCATTTACCTATCTCGGCCCAATTTAGGTATAAATTATCCTCTCATATACATATTACCTTCTAAAAAGCATAGACATTTTTTATACCAATTTATATTTAAAGCAAAGGTTACACACGGTGCATAATCTAGTTGACTTTGCATTGTTGGTATATGTATGATAAATGCATAGGTACGATCTTGGCATAACGCAATATAATCTTTAATCATTCTAACTCCATTATCCTATAAAATTTTAGAATTATAACATTGTGTTTGAAAATGTAGGAATAAGTTATTTATAATAAATTATATAGTTTCGCACTTTTGATCTCATATTCTTCAAATATGATGATTGGCATCGCAAGATAAACTTTGTCCGTTTATCTTGAATAATGAGATTTATTGAACCAGTATTGTCTTTGACCATAATGTTAACATTGTATCTAATAAAAAAAATAAAAAATAAAAAATAAAAACTTGTTAAAAAAAATATTGTATTTAATAAAAAATTAAAATACTTGTTGAGTTTGAATTATTATTGTACATAGTAATTATTTACCTAAAGAAAATTATTTCGTTATAATATCAATATCATTATGCATACAATGACGACAAATAATGTGACCATAATGATATTCAACTTTTTGGTAGCAACTTTAGTGCAAATCACCCCGAAGGTTGTCAACATCAATTTGTTTGATGTACCCAAGTATTCGAAAATATGAGATCTACAAAATATTTGAAAAAACATTAATTAATATCTCTCTATAAACGAATATATATACATATCGTTTAACTTTCATTACTTGGGATGATAACAATTCGTACCTTTGATTGTTCATTTTTGCTGTAATATTCTCAAAAAGTAAAAATAACAAGAAGTTTGCAAAGATAAAAGAAGAGGAAGTGGAGCAAAAGTGGAACATCAACAAGGTGGGTGGAATCCGGTATTCCGTCGACGACAAGGTAGAAATGGGGCGACAGCACAACTTCACACGATCTTTGTTGATGAGATCTCACACTCGATGAATCCTAAAGGTTTGTACACCATGTTTTCCAACTTTGGAGTGGTCAAGGATGTCTACATCCCAGAGAAACGCAGAAAAGCGACGAAAACCAATTTTGGATTCGTATGATATGACTGTCCTGTTGTAACGGAGATTGCAATTCAGAAAGCCAATGGAGTGTGGTGCGGCGATAAATCTTTGAAGGTGAAAAAGCAGATTTCGAAAAAGAAAAGGATATGATTAATCCAAGACCAAGGGCATATAAACCAGATGGAGTCTCAAGATTGTCTGGCGCTGGGATTGGAGGGAGAAGTTCTTATGCGGATGTTCTGAAAAGAGGGAGGTCTGGTAGTGATAATCACATCAGAATTCAAGCAGAGGAATATGCCATTGGTTGGTTACTACTCAGCACAGTAATCAAACGTAAACCGTATTGCAACTTTGATGGTTTCAAGATTGAATGTCGTAACAGAGAATGGAAGGACATACAACTTAGATAAGGAGGAGGCCGAAATGCATTTATCACTTTTAACTCTAAAGAACCAATGAAGCAATCACTAAACAGTTTTGGAGGTTGGTTATTGGAGTGGTGTGAATCAATCTTTGAGTGGAACAAAGGTGTGAAGTTAGAAAATGAAAGACTGGTTTGGTTAAGCTGTTTTGGAATGCCTTCCAATCTATGAATGTCAATAACTTCAGGAAAATTGGTGAAGCGTGTGGTGTAGTCGTGGAGCTTAATGATAATGTATCAAGTATGAATTCTTTGAAGTGTGGGGAAATCAGAATATGTACATCCCATCTGGAACATATTGATAAATTGGTTATTCTGGAAAAAGATGGTAGATCCTACCCTGTTCGTGTAGTTGAAGCAAGGGATTTGTTAACAACATCCATAATTGGGGGTGACCATTGCTCTGCAACTCATCATGCAAGCAGGAGTGAAGGTGATGACGTGGGAAACATTGGGGCTGACGTGGAGAGAAGCCTCTACATGGCACACAGTAAGAAGTCTAAGGAGGCAGTGGTGGGAGCAGGACACAAGCACACGTGTACTTCAGACTCTGTATCGATGGTTAACGAGACAGGCGTGGAGATAGGAATTCGCAACCATGATGCTATCCACCTAGCACCCAATGTCAATTTGCAAGCACCGTTAGAAAGGGAGGTTGACAGGAGTGAAAGACGAGGAGGTGGGATGCTGGAGACACCTAATGGGCCTCATGGGCTTATAAGAAGTTTAAGTCCAGGAGATCTCAATAGGCCTGATATATCTTTGGAAGTTGTATTGACTAAAGCCCAATTTGATGGGAATCGTCTGGGGCCTAATAAGGCAAAGATCAATTCTGTTAAGGAGGCTAACCCAATAGAAGAAGGTGAGGCTTCTGATAACATCGATGATGAATCCAGCCCAAGTGATGAAGAAGAAGAAGTACATCAACCTGGTGCTTCTGTTTATGATAGTAAAGCAGAGGCCCAGTTTAATGAAAATAGGGTGTTTGGAAAATTCTGGAAAAGAAAGGGACAAAAAGGAATACCATTTAGGAGTGGGTTCCAACGAGGTGCCCTTGTTCAAGTAGCTGCAATGGCATCTTCATCATCTTTATCGATCACCAATGCCTTACGAAAGAAAAATAGAATCAAACAGGAAGCAGAAGCTACGGTGCAGTTGGGAAAGACTTTTGGTCTGGAAATGAATAGGAATGAAGCAGAAGTTGTGGAGCGAGCAATCCAGATGGAAATTGAAGATATGGAGAGAAGGAAAGCAAAAGGGGTGGCGCCAAGTACTTAATCAGCACTTAGTATGAGGCTTTAGTGTATATTTATATCTCTATGAAGATTTTGTCCTAGAACGTTAGAGGTTTGTGAAGGGCTGACAAAAGGCGAAGAGTAAAGGAATTTCTGAGGCTGAAAAATGTGGATATGGTTCTGCTGCAAGAAACAAAAAGATCAAACATTGATGGTAGTGTTGTAAGATCTCTGTGGCCTAGTGATTCGGTGGAATACATGGAAGTGGATGCGGAGGGAAGTGCAGGAGGAATTTTGTGCATCTGGAATCCCATGACTTTCTCACTTCAGGAGTGTTGCTGCTCAAGAAATTTCATCCTTTTAGTAGGTATCATGCATTCTTGTATTAACTGTGTAATTGGTAACATATATGCTCCTAATGAAGATTTGAATAGGAGGAGGTTATGGAGCATCCTATCCAATTTGAAAACTGTCTTCCCTGATCCTTGGTGTTTAGGGGGAGATTTCAATGAAGTTAAAAATATTTGTGAAAGAAAAGGGTGTATAAGGAGGGATAGAGGCATGGAGGAATTTGGTACCTTCATTAGCAATCTTGAATTGGTGGATATCCCAATGTTGGGCAGGCAATATACTTGGGGCAATTCTCAAAGTTGGAGCAGAATTAACAGGTTCTTAGTTAACCCTGGGTGGTTGGAATGGTACAGATACAAGGTATGAGGGTTACCAAGACTTTTTTCTGACCATAGCCCCATTTTGCTGATGGAAGATGATAGGAACTGGGACATAAAGCCTTTCAAGTTTATCAATGCTTGGGTTTTACACCCTAAGTTCCTTCTTGAAGCAAATAAAGTTTGGAGGCTGGGCTAGTTATATAATTATGGAGAAGCTGAGGGTTTTAAAAGTAGCTCTGAAAAAGTGGAACACGGAAATGTTTGGTGATGTAGAGGCAAAGTTGAAAGAAGCTGAAAGTGAGTTACATTCTAGGATTTACAATCCGAATTGAGGGTGTTGACTGAGGTGGAAGAAGGCCGAAGAAAGGAGATAAGGGGTTTGATTTGGAAGCTTAGCAAGAGAAGGGAATGGATGTGGGTGCAAAAATTAATGATGGACTGGGCGTTCAAAGGAGATAGAAATACTCGATTCTTTCATATTATGGCCACCAAGAAACACAACAGAAACCTGATTGCCTCTGTTTTGGATAATGGGGTTGAGGTGGATGAACCTTCAGAGGTCAAACAAGCAGCTTGCTCTCACTTCCAAAATCTATTTTCTGAACACTGGAGGAGTAGGCCAAGTATTGGAGGTGATTTTAAGAAGATTGATGCTAACCAAATAGGCATTATTCTGGAGAGAGAATTTACAGAGGAAGAAGTTTGGTCTGCAATAAAAGAGTGTGACGGAAACAAAGCCCCAGGCCCAGATGGGTTTAATATGTTATTTTTTCAAAAAGGGTGGAAGTTCTTGAAAGGTGACATTATGAAGTTTATGAAGGAGTTTTTTAGCAATTGTAAATTAGGGTATGGGGTAAATTGTTCTTTTGTTGCTCTTATCCCCAAAAAGGAGAATCCAACCTCTTTTCTTGATTACAGACCCATCAGTCTGATAAATTCCCCATATAAAGTGTTGTCCAAAGTTTTGGCTAATCAAATGAAACAAGTCCTGCCCGCTGTGATTGATAAGGTTCAATTTGCTTTTGTAGGGGGAAGAAACATTATAGATGGGGTTCTTATAGCCAATGAGGTGGTGGATTGGTGGAAAACATCAAAGAAGAAGGGTATTATTCTCAAACTGGACTTTCAAAAAGCATATGATACTATTAATTGGATATGTTTACTGCAAATGTTAGCTAAATTTGGTTTTGGTTCACGTTAGATTCGATGGATGAAGGAATGTGTAGAATTTGTTAGAATTTCCATCTTAGTAAATGGCTCACCTACAACTGAATTCCGTCCGCAAAAAGGGTTAAGACAGAGAGATCCCCTTTCCCCTTTCTTGTTCAATGTTGTTGCTGAAGGATTGAATCTCTTGTTGAAAAGAGCTAAGGAATTGAGAATTATAAAAGGGGTGGAAGTGGGTTCTAGTGAGGTCAACATGTCCCATCTTTAGTTCGCGGATGACACTATCATATTTTGCAAGGCTGAGTGGGCTGAAATTGTGGCTATCAAACGAATTTTAAGATGCTTTGAAATGGTCTTGGGTTTGAAGATAAATTTTCATAAAAGTATGATCTGTGGGGTGGGAGTTGATCATGTGCTAGTTGAGGAGTTTGCAGAAATACTTAATTGCCAGAGTCGTAAATTACCTTTAAAGTATCTAGGGTTGCCTCTTGGAGCCAACCTATGTCGTAAGCAAACATGGCAGCCAGTAGTGGATAAATATAAAAAGAAATTATCGGGGTGGAAGCGAAGGATGCTATCCTACGCTGGCAGGGTCACCCTCATCAAATCTATTTTATCTTCCCTACCTGTTTATTATATGTCTCTGTTCAAGATACCTGTGTGTGTGGCTAAGGAACTAGATAGGATTCAAGCAAGGTTTTTGTGGGGAGGGGACGAGATTAAAAGGAAAATTCATTTGGTAAAATGGAAAGAGGTGCAGTTAAATAAGAAGCAAGGAGGTCGGGGTATCAGAGATATCAGATTAACAAATGATTGTTTGCTTCTCAAGTGGTGGTGGAGATATGCATTTGAAGATGATGCTTTGTGGAAATCTGTAATTGCTGCCAAGTATGGTGTATCGGGGGGACAATGGTTTCCTCCAGTGCATGCCTTGGCTTCTGTTTCGTCTACATGGAGACAGGTCCTTGATGTGTCATTTTCAAATCCTCGGCTACATAATTTTTTTTGAAAAATGTGGAGCTTCGGATTGGTGATGGGAATAGGATCAAATTCTGGCAGGATACTTGGTTGGGAACATCAAGCCTTAAACTACAGTTTCCACGGTTGTATCAGCTGAGTTTAAACAAGGAGATAACATTGAAGATGCAAAATGATTGCAGAGACAGTAGCAATAATTGGTACCTTAATTTTAGAAGGCCTCTTTTTGGATGGGAGGAGGAAGAGGTGATTAGGCTGCAATCTCTGCTGGGAGGAGGTCCATGCTTTATGGCTAGTCAAAGGGATTCAATTAGGTGGAAGGCTGAACAGTCAGGGATATTCACAGTTGGGTTTGTGTATAGTTGGTGTAAACAAAGTGTTGGACCTACCCTAAGCTACCCAGATTTGGTATGGAACAACTTTGCACCTCCTAAGGCTAAATTCATTACTTGGCTCGCTTGGAAAGGTAGGTTGAAAACATCGGCATTTCTCAGCAGAATTGGAGTCTTGAGAGGTAATGGGCCTTCATCTTGTGTGCTGTGTAAATCTGAGGAGGAAACCTCTAATCATATTTTCCTGTTCTGCTCATTTGTGTGGCATGTCTGGTCAAGTATCATGGCCTGGTGGGGAATTCAATGGGTGTTACCAAGGTCTTTTGAAGGCCTAATGCAATGGTGGTTGGGAGGGAAGCTCAGGAAAAAGGAAAAAAAAGTGTGGAGGGTTGTTTTTATTTCTGCTATTTGGTCCCTGTGGATGTATAGAAATGACTGTTTATTCAATAACACGCATCCTAATGCTGATGCGTTGTGTGAGCTTATTAAAATTTGAGTGGCCATGTGGCTGAAATCTGTTGATGTGGGGTGTTGCCTCTCCATTCAGGAGATTGTGTCAAACATAAAATGGGTGAGGCATTTTATTTAAGGTTTACAGGAGGCTCTGCTGGTCTGCTGAAGTTGCTCTGGATTATAGATAGATGGTTTGTTGCTGCTCCGCTGGGGTTCTTGTTGCTCTGCTGGGATTATAGACTGCTGGTTTGTTGAGGTTGCTCTGAATTCATTAGTCTAAATAGCAGTCCTTCTGCTGTGGGTAGCCTTTCTGTTGCTGATGGATGTATATTTAAGGCATAAAGAGGTTGCTGATGGATCTGCAAGTCATGTTTACTGATGTCCAGTTTAGAAGTGTAACTACTTAGCAGTGGTTGGTGTTGTTGTGTTGTTCTGTTGGGCTGTTTGTTGAGTGCCCTCTTAGTTCTGATGTGTAGTTGGGATGTAGCTGCATAGCAGAGGTTCATTGCTTTGGTTTTGCTGATCTACTGCTGAACTCATCTCTGTCTGCTGCTATTATTCTGCTGTGGAGAGTATGCCAGCATTATGAGCATAACGCCTTCAAAACGAGGTTGACCTGATCTGGTGCAAGCATATGGTTAGTTGGGTGGTAAGGAAGGATGTGAACCTATGCTTCTTGTCTGCTACTGGTTGTTGCTAGTTGTGTGAGGATGTATTGGTTGTTGTAAATCTATTAAGCACAGCTCTTATGAGTGCAGGTCTGTCGGTGTATGCTGCCAATGGCCTTCTCACCAACTGATGTTGTATGCTGCAAGTCTGTTGTTGTATGCTGTTACTGATTTTTTCTGTTGACCTGATCTGGTGCAAGCAAATGGATAGTTGGTTGGCAAGGAAGGATGTGAACCTATGCTCCTTGTCAGCTACTGGTTGCTGCGGTGCTCATGCTGTATTGTTAGCTGTGTGAGGATGTATGCTGTTAGTTTGTTAGTTTTGGTAGTTTTGGCATCGGTGTTTGTGATTGGTTTCTCACCAACTTTTGATGGTGTGCTAGCATATGATTGGGCGGCCTTATCGGTGCCAACCTAGTTGGGATTGATTTGGTTCGCTATGATACTTTTTGCACTCATCATTCTCTTTTCTCTTATTGATGCAACAGTCTTCTAATTCATCAATAAAGTTCCTTTTTCTTTGCTGATAAAAAAAAAAAACAATTCGTACCTTTGGCATATGTGTAAAACCATGTATTCGAATTCTTTTGGCATTTGATATTACCGATAACTGTGAAATTGAGAATTCATTTTTTCAATTCCAAGATACCAACTTTTGTGATATAAGATTCATAGCAAGCCTAGATAAACATCAATATATATATATATATATATATAATTGTGAGAATTATGTTGTCATATGTAATTGGTTAATATTATACAATCATAACATACCATTATATAATCATAACATGCCACACTTGAATATGATTTGTATATAACTTGTTGCATTTGCATGTAGCGAGACATAGACCTAGAAGTTGAGAAAAGATAATTTATCAATATCAATATTTGTATATGCATCTATATATTATAAAAGTCAATGAAAAATAATTTCACCATAATAATTTTTAACTATTAATCTAGTGACAAATAAAATATTATCATTTTTTAGAGTATGATATAGTTGCAAGATAACATATAATCCAATCACATCTGTATAATTTAGCATTGACATATTTATTATTTTGATAGTTAATTTTTTTTTTTATTAGTAATAAACTATGTAAGCATGTAATCTAGATAAGTATTATTTAGTAAAAATAACGTATCTATTAATTGAATATCTTGATGACAATTTTTTAAAGACCCAATTACAATTTTTTGCAAGATAACATATAATCTAATCATCAAAAAACATAGAAATTGTTACAACTCAAACAAAGCAACGAAATCAATTGGTAATTAAAAAATACAATTTTTTTTTTCAAAAAACGTCGTGAGTTAAAAAATCCAATCTTGAATTAAGTTAATTGATAGTTAAAAAGCACAATAATTTTTTTTTTCAAAAAATCCAATTACAAAATAAAATCTAATCATCATCATCAACAGTGGATACTTTACGTGAACTTAATGAATACAATCCAATCACAATCAAAAAATATAATCTAATCATCAATAATAGCGGGTATTTGATGTGAACCTAATAAATACAATCTATTTTTTTTTCAAAAAACATAAATTAAAATATAATTATCGTGTGATTGTATTCAAAAAACATGAATGCAAATTTTTTTTTCAAAAAAACGCAGATTAAATGGAGTGTAGAAAAACACAATCATTAAAAAAAATAAAATCACTGTGTAATCAAAATGGGGTGTAAAAAAACACAATCACAAATTAAGCTAATTAAAA